GTTGGGCTATCAACACTTTAAAACCATCTCTAAGAAGATGCTTATCATTTTAGGATGAAATGGTAAGTTTAAAAGTAGTTTTTAGAAAATATGTCTTGAGACTCTCTCTTATGAACACAAAAATGGGGAGGTGTTTAGATTGCATCTCCCCAAAGCACATCTCTAGAATACTCCTGCAGCCCATCGCTCTCATCTCTCATTGCTCAAGGCAGCTCAGATGAGTTGAGTCTGTGTGGTCTGCTGTTCTTCACTTTTGACCGTCTACATCCTCCATTTACGTGTGCTCTGGTTCAAGTTTGATTGAATCGTCTCTGTCTGGCTGCTCTTGGACAGACCTGATGAATGAGTCTTTAACCAAGAATAATTGTGGGAGGGGAGGAAATAATGCAGTTTTATGTTGTCCTATGCAGTATTCCAACAAGGATACAAATGTGGGACTTTATTTAATCAATCAGGAGATTATTGGATCATGAAAATTGATTGTTTTCCATACCACAGTCACCCTTTGAAACTTTGTTTTGCCTTGATGGCAGCCAAAAATGAAAGTTGTTTTAGAGGCATTCAGATGAAACTGATTATAAAGAACATTTTCACATGCTTTTTGTTGTCTTTCTGAAGTTGCCTTATGCTGGGGATGAGCCCGTATAGACAACTTATCTCACCAGCCATGAAACTGTATTTTAAACCATTTTATTAAAAATATAAATAAATGTTAGAAATTAAGTCCATTGTTTTATAAAATATGCATAATATAATAATTGTAATATATGCAATCAAAATGTATTTGGATTTTTTATAAAATACATATACATAAAAGGAAAAATTAACAACTGTTTCTGGATTCTCCCAACAAAGACAGACATGAAACTGCTTGGTGCACAGTATGACTCCACTGATCTCTGCCACCCCATGCTGTTGAAAAGACACATCTGCAGTCCATTCACTACAATACAGAAATTCACAAACAGTTTGAGATTGTGGCTATAATATAGCTAGTATATTTTCTTACTGGGCTGTTGAATGCTTGAATCTGATTGGCTGACGTACGTTCCAAGGTGTGCAATTATTTTCAGGGAAATGCACAGCTAAAGTCAAGACCCAGGCGGGTCTTGACCGCATCATTGATCATGATTTCAGTTATTTCAAAGGTCCGTACAGCAAAACAACCAAAACCCACAGTGACACTGACCAAGCTAATAAATATAGTAAACAATAGGACAAAAATGACTAATTATTTCCATGTTTCTTGTCACAACATTACATGATTATGTACAGAAAGTGCACACTCTCTCTCTCTCTCCTGCTCGCTTCCGTACATACGCACACACATACAGTACTGGCACACATGGAAACACACGAACACAGAAACGTGTTGTTAGCGCTGCTCTGACAATTTGATCAGTAAAATAGTTTAGCAAATTAAAAGTTTAGCAGGCAACATGACATTTCTCACTAGCGCGGTATGGCGCTGTCCTTGAAGCAGATGAACCTCAAGTTTCACTATTAGAGAGGCTTTTGCCAGGCTCTGTTGAGAGATGCAGATTCGGGTGATTCACAAATGCTTAATCTTTCTCATAACTGCATTAGTCTGCTATCAACGGCTCAAGCCTCCGTTACTGGCTCTAAAATGACATTTCAGAATTAGCAACGAAGGTGTGGAATGAGATGCTTAAGAAATTAATCCTACACACTGAGCATTTATGGACAAAAACCTGGCAAATATTAATTCAATGGCCCGTCATCAATTATTTCTTACTGTATATTATAGTGTTAATATATACATGTAATATATAATTTTGGTTCTCTGTGCAGCTCTGTTCTGTAACTGCAGCACACCACAGTGTGTGAAGGATGGGTATAAGTGCGAGACCAAGGGTGCGTGTGTGGCCTCCACCTCAGTCATTGAAGGACAGGAGCAGCATGTGCGGCTCTGCATCCAGAAAGAGGACCTGGTTCCTCCGGTCCAGCCGTTCTACTGCTTCAGTTCAGAGGGACTGCTGAACACTCACTGTTGCT